TATTAACAACTTTAAACTAGGCAATTTTGACATTGTAAGCTTACAAAACAATTAGTTACCTGGTTTGTAACTCCCTTAAGACCTTTAACCTAGAACTCAAATAGCCATGGATAGTCTCTCCTTACAGGGACTTCCTACTCCCACGTGGCTTGGAAAAGCCCCATGAATTGCCACAACACCCTCACATAAACAACAGTTTCATACACAAAATATCCTAACAGTTACACCGGTTCCTCCTAATAAATTCTCCAATATTTGAAATCCACCGATCCATCTGTCTTCACATTTTGGTTTGGGTCGGGCATGACATACTGAAGGGTCCAAATATCAAAAAGGTTGCCCATTCTATCAATAAAGCCATCCGGGAAAGGGCCTAACTGATACAACCAAGGATTTTCTTAACTCAAAATCTGGACAAGTCCGATGTAAGCACTTAGCCAACTTTCGAATTTCCAAGCACAGCTTCCTAATGGATAGATTCTAACATACACATACGAGCTAATTTGCAGCCTATTTTGAACATTCCAATTTTCAAATATAGCCCCTACATCTCCAATACTTTCGTCAGTATTACCTTCTACAGGTTCCTCCTTCGTGTCAGACTCAATCACAATCACCTCCATTGGGTTGTACATAGGCGCACTTTGCTCGGGTTCGGACTTAGGCTCATAGTCTTCTATTGGTCACTCTATTTCTTTACTTGGGTCAGACTCTATTTCATAATTTCCCACCGAGTCTTCCTCATGAGAGTTAATATCCGATGATCTTGACATCCTACAATTAAAAAGGTTCCAACTTAGTTTATGTCACGAAAAATTGCAAGGCAACGTAAGTTTTTTTTTTTTTTCTAAACGTAAAGAAAAAAAATATATAATTGCTACCCATAGCCCAAAGGTTCGAATCTAAGCTCTGATACCAAATTGTGACGCCCCAAATTTTTTTTTTGGAACATTATACAAATTAAATAACAAAGAAACTTATCAAATAAAAATTTAACATCCTAATAGGAATACTTCAATTCTCACACAACCAAAAGTTTAAACAACACAAAAAAATATTAAAAGTCCAAATACAACATTAAACAACATTGTAACATCCTCAATCATTAATAAATAAGATAGTAAAATTTTATTTTGCTAAAGTCATGACTTCAAGTTAGCTAAGGCTCTATATAAGCATTAGCTCCAATTTCAGCTTCCGTTCCTTCCTCGTCAAAATCTGGCATCAAACGCCAGGGCAACAAAAATATATACCATGAGTTTTGCAACACAGTAAAAAAACATAACAAACCAACCATTCTTTTTAAGAGAAAATAATTAGATTAACAATCATAACAACTAAGAGAAAATAACGAAATTAATAGCATGACAATACAACAACCATTAAATTAATTTTAACAATTTTAATAGTTTAGGAGACACTCAAAATCTCACCAAGAGATTCTCTTACCAACCACTAAGCTATGACCACGGTTAATTTGAAACCCCCCTGGTCAAATATTCAAGTACTACCAAGGATGCCCACACCCAGAGTTATATACCCAAGCAATGGCATCCGTAGTCTGCCCTAAGGGAACGTTCTGCTAGGGGTACATAACCTCCTTGTGTGCCACCCGCACATCCACCCTTATCTCAAAACCGAATATCGATAATGGTAAGTCCTGTGCTATCTTTGGGTTTCGTGACACAATTATGTAAAAATTCTCAAAAGAACCAGGGTTCACCCTGAACTACCGGTATTAGCTGTTAATCGTTAATTTTGTACATTTTGTTAATCATGTTAGATAGTTTTTATATTAATCACAAATAATTACAAATTTCAATCACCATAAGTGTTATACCATTTCATTAATAGAAAATATTACACATATGTTATACAATAATCAGTCAATATACAAAATTATAATAAACAATTAAATTAAACCATGGTATGAAATGATAATTTTAGATACTTAAAAATGAACCACAACCACACACATACATGGACTACTAATTTACAGAATTTAATTAATTAGACCAGCACAATATTTATTTTTAGTCCTAATAATTAATTGAAGTAACAATCCTGGTTCTGTCTCAATCTGCCCAGAAAATTTTAGAACATACTTTTTGTAGTTAAAATTATAAATAAATTATTTGTACAATTCTAAAATTCATGGAATTACATGGAATATTCAAAAAACATGTTATGGTCATTTTCCAGAAAGAAATTTCCAAAAATAAGTTATAAATAATTTTGTAAAATTTCAAAAAATTCTATGACACAGATTCGTTACGTTTTCGTAAAATAATTCCACACTAAAATTTATAAATCAATTTCATAATCTAATAATTTATTATGAAACTAGAATTCTTAAATTCATTTTTTTTTAGAAATTACTAGATTGGATTTACTATAGGATTTTTAATGATTTTTCAAACATGTAGTAAAATCTGTCTACAGTTTTTGATTTAATAAAAATTTTGAATAAATTCGTACAAAACTAGAATAATTATTACAAAAATTCCTGGATGAACTATATATCATTCTTAATAACTTTGTAGAAGAAATCATCTCAAAAGTTTGAGTATAAAATTGTCTAAAAATTCATACAAAATTTTGGCAAATTTAAAAGTCATATAATCAGACCAAATAATATCTTCAATCATCTTTTTAATGTCACAAACTACACATGCAAGCCTAATTTCAAAATTATATCATGATTTTATGGCTACTAATATAAAAATAACCTTCAAATATTTGATATACAAATTACAAAATTTACATACAACTAAAAAATAAAATTCTTTCTAAAATTTTAGTCATTCTATTATATGAACACAAATCTAAAAATTTCAACAAATAAAAAAAATAACAAAGTTGAGAGGGTTTTCTTACCTAATAGTAGGATTGAAATGGTAGAATTTTTTTTTTAAACTTCCTTGGTCTTCTACTCTTTTTCTTCTTACTTAAGCATGTGAATATATATATATATATATATAGGAGTTCATCCTGACTAAGGCTATATATATAGGAGTTCATCCTGACTAAGGCGCTCTCTCTCTCTTCTAGTCATTCTAATGAGTTCCATCAGATCTTCTGATTTCAAGATATATAATTATCCTATTCCCTGCTATTACATACATGCATACAAGTGTTGGGGGATTAATCACCCACACCATCACCGAATTTCTGATTTTTCTTTAATTGTGTATTTGTGTGGGTTTCTTAAAATTAATTGACAAAGGTTTTCAACTAAGGTATTTAGTAAGGATAATTATTATGTTGAATCCTTGTTAAAATAAATTATAAACAAAAAAATATTGAATACCCACAAAATTATTATTCTTAACAATATTTTTGTTAGTGATTGAATTGAATTAATTTAAAACTAACTTATACACTAATATATATTTTAGATAGACTCTAGATAAAATCAATTTATTTATTTATTTTCTTCTACGAATAATTAAATGCGGGTTCTCATAATGGTAGTGGAGGCACAATGATATCTATAGCGCCAATAACAATAATGGTAGAGATACATATGGTGGTTGAAGGGTTGTATTCGTTGTTGTAGCGGTGGTAATGACAGTGGAGATCATTGTGATAGTGGAATAATAGTGGTACGCATGGTTTTTAAAATTGGACTAGACCGGCCGGTTCGACTGGTTGAACCGTCGACCAGTCAGGGTTTCGGTCTAGATATATCCTCTAAACTGTTCGAAATAAAAAATTGACCTATTTATAGAGAATTGGAAAAACCAATGGTTGAATTGCCGAACTGGTCGACTCGGTGACAGTTTGCCGGGTCGGTGAAATTGAAAATTTTGATGTAAAGATTAACTGGATGAGACGAAAGATCGAAGGAGAGATTAGTCTCTTGCCGGAAGAGCTCAACAGTTTCATGCAAGCCTATTTTTTGCAAATAATCAAACAGATGTCGTTCAAACCTGCAAAAAATAAAAAATAAAAACCAAAAAATCGAAATTTAACAATAAAAAAATAGAGATATATAGAAAATGGGGAAAAAATCAACAAAAAGAGCAAAATTGGTGAAACCCACATGTATTACTTATATTTTTATTAAATATAATTTTAATATATTTGTTACGTCATGGTTCGATTCCGTTTCAACCCGACAGTTGAACCGGTGACCCGTCTATTCGATCCCTTTCCGGTTCGTTCACCGGTTCGATTTTTAAAACATTGGTGGTACGTATGGTAACAATGACAATAGTGATGAATGTGGTAATTGTAGAAGGATGCTGGTCATAACAATAGTGGGGTGGCGGCGATAGTGATGGTGGCGATGGCGATAACGATAACGATAACGACGATTGTGAAGTTATAACAATATATATTGATATTTATGTATGAGTATTTATAAATTTAGTTAGAATTAAATAAGTTTATTATCATTTAAAATTTTCTTAATTTTTAATTTTATATTTTAAGAAGTACTTAAATTTTTAAATAGTAGTTTTTATGATTATTAAACAGAATTTAATTAAATTTTTACTTAATAAATTCAGTTTTAAATACTATAAGGCCTCGTTTGGGAACATGCTAATTTAGTAACTTTTTGGCTATTTGGCTAAAATATGAGCTAAAAAAAACTAGTATGTTTGGGATGACTTTTTGGCTTTTTACGAAAAGATGTGCAAAAAGTAGAGAGAAAATATAATCTTCGACTTTTTGGTATGTGTTGTTGGCTTTTTGACTAATTTAGTAACTTTTGACTTTTTGACTAAAAGGGATGGTTCCCAAACGAGGCCTAAATGTTGTTGATTATGTTGATCATAACCAAACAAATTTTCTACACTCAAATCATAATTCTAAAACACACAAACTCAAAATACAACTCATATTCTCAAATCACAATTACAAAACTCTACCAAACGGAGCCTATATTATCATATTGTGTTTTTATGAATTAAACTAATAAAATGATATTAGTATGGATAAAAAATGAAGAAGGAAAAATTATTGACAATTTATTGGACATCATTTTTAGAAATTAGGGGTTTAAGTACAAATAAAAAAAAAATATATATATTTGATGGTCAAACCAGAACAGAGCAAGGTGAAGATTGCCACCATAAAACCCCCATTCTCATTAATCATCGGAAAGAGATCGGATCCCACCGGAGCAGCACAGTGAAAACTAGGGTTCCGGAGGTATGTTCGTGAATCTCTCTCTCTCTCTCTCTCTCTCTCTCTCTATAAGTATACATATTTGTATATGGAATGGATATAGATTTCATGGTTCTGTAGAGTAAATCTAGAGAATTAGCATAGGAAAGTCCCGATTTCAGTGTCCCACAGATTGAAAATTTGAAGCCTATGTTTTTTCCATTGCTGACCGCATGACCTCGTTGAGTTGGGTTTTCAATTCTGTGCTCAGAAGCTCTGTTTTATCAGCGACAAAATGTAGTTAGGGTTTCATTGTTTTTTCTGGATTACATCTAGACGGTTATTGCTTAATCATCTTACAACACTATAACAAGAGATGAACAAATTTGAAGTAACTATTGTAAAACAATTGTTAATTTAATTTGGGTTGTGGACTTTTCTCTAAAAGGATTAATCTTTTCAGCTGTAAATAAAATTTTTGTGTCTCAAACTACCAGGGGTCATGCATGGTTATAGCCTTTCTTTAGTTGAATAGGCTGTTCCGAATTGCATCATTATGCTTTCATAGTTTATTCATATGGGTTGTCCACGGGCTCGTGAATAGTGATTGATATGGTTACTTCTTGTTGGTGTTGTTCTTAATTATTAACAGTTTAATCTAATGATTTTCTTTTTTTATTCTTTATGCAAACCTGAAGTCCATGGCAGGAACCGGGAGTTCCATGTTATATTCTCTTCTTCTATTCATTATTATTCTCTCGCTGCAAGAAATGTATAGAGGGAAGTTAGCATCATCAGAGTTGTTCACTATACTCGGAGGGTTCACCAGTTCTGTCCTCTTTGTTATGTTGCTGACTGTGAGTTAAAATGCCTCTAGTTTCGTGATTTAAAAAAAAATGATTTACTATCACTTGTTCATTCCTACCTGTGATTTGTACATTAATTATACGTAAGCATGGATATACTGATAGTACTAACTTCATTATCTGTTTTATTTTCTTTGTAATTTAATTGTCTTGCGTATTGAACACTATCCTCCTTCCTCCTCTAGGGGGTGGCATCACATGATATCTTACCTCCCATGAATCATGTTTATTGGAAGCAAAATATTTCAGTTAATCCTCTGTTGTTTTGATCCTTTTTAATGTTTCATATAAAAAATTATTTATAATACTTTTACAGCTACCTGTGGTGAAGTGTCAATTTGCATAATTTCGCGAATACAAGCACTCTTCGTAGTAATCATAATTTGTAGGCTTGAATTGGGAATTGAAAAGTTCTGCTTGCCATACTTATAAACAATTCTATTGTGTTGTTAGGTGTCACATTTATATATTTTAGTGAATAGTATTCTGACTTTGGCCTCTTTCCAAATATTGATTTAGTTTTATTTATTTATTTAATTTTTGGGTACTTTTTGTTTTTATTATCATGAAATTAAGTTATATTTTTTTCTTTTCCTTCCAGGCTCAGCATTGAAGATGTTTATTGGTTGTAAATTCCTTCTATATGTATAGCTTTATATGGGATGGTTGCTTGAGTCATATGTTTTTTTTGTTTTATTTATTTATTTATTTTTATTTTATTATTATAAATATTTTCACGGTCCTATTGTTACCCACTCCGGTAATTAATTTTATTCTTAAAAAATTTAAGATTCTTTGTCAAAGACAGACAATATATATAGCTTAATCTTCTAAATGAATTTTCACATCATTGAATTTGAAAGTTTGGATATAGAAGGTTCTTTCTTCTATAAAAGTTTGTAGCTATCTTTGCTCAAGTTTTATTCTATTAAGTATGGATATTGGCAGGGACATGGATACAACACAATACGGACACATTGACATAGAAATTTCCAAACTGTCACGACTTGTACATGGTGGGACGTTATGTGAATGAATATCTATTTATAAATATAATAAAAAAATGTTCCTTATTCATATAAAAGAAAAATTACTATTGTAATAGAAAAGAATAACAACTAATTACTTTCACACTGTATTTTGAAAAATGTGGGAAGAAAAAGTCCTAATGTCTTACTTTTAGAAGTCTAAAGTATTTAAAGGGCAGTCCCTTTGCACAAGGTTCCCACCACTGCGGGGTTTGGGGAGGGGTAGATGTATGCAGTCTTACCCTTGCGTGCAGAGAGGCTAGTTTTGTGGTTTGAACACGTGATGCCAGGTCACAATGGAGTATTTATAAACTAAATTAGAAGTGCCCACGGTTTTAAATACTTTAATCCTTTGCCTCCTTTTATTGTTATCCAACTTGTGCCAAGACACTGAATGCGTCTCACGTGTCTCTAGATAGAGGATACGTGTGTCCCACGAGTGTCTAATACGTGTTCGGTATTTTGAAATTTAGCAAGTAATTCTACATGTTTGGTTGTGTGTATGAAGCATGCTAGGTGTATGTCGGATAGAATGTTCGTGTCTGACATGTGTTATAGATGTTCATTTGCACTCAATGGATGTTATGATTTGGTACTTTATTGATGTTTCATATTACATACTTTGACGATTGTCTTTGCATCCTAGAAACATTATTTACATGCTTCAATTTGTTGACATCATAGATGTTATATATGGAGCTAGATATGGTATTTTGCACTCACTTGGGTACGTTTCTTGCAGTTCATTGGGAATTATCAAGAAACTATTGGCATCAAGACTGGGTGGGGTGCTGGTAAGGGCAATTTTTATTTTTATTTTTTAAATTTCTTTTCAAAATTTTCTATTTTATGAAATTAGATTAGTGAAGTGTAAATGACAAAAAAAGGAATTTATTATTTCTATAAACTGCATATCATACTTGTCTTGAGTTTTGACCTTGAAATTCTTGAGATCATGCCTATCTTTCTGAGGTCTGCGTCGGAAGTAGGAAGTAGGAAGTAGGAAGAGTGAACTAGACAATCAAGCACAAATAGTTTGCATTTAATCACGGCAGATATCCATTTTCTCAACCAATGGTGATCAATGGGGCCCTAGCCACTTGGAAATTTCCAATGGGAAGGATTTTTTGGTTAAAATACCTAGGTTTTTATTTCATAAAAATGAGTCTATATGTTGATAAAGGTTGAGGCTTAAAAGTTCATAGATGGCAAGTTCTGAATCAAGGCCCAAGGGCCTAAACCCACAGTTCTAAGCCCAATAGCAGTGGTTTGCAGATTATGCTGCACAGATCTTGGGTTCCCAACTTATTGTTTAAAATTGTTGTATTGTTATAATCCATATCTTCTTCAAAAATGTTATTATTATTATCTTGAAAGTCTTGGCTTATGCATGCAGCGCCGGCCCTGAGAATTCAGGGCCCTAGGCGAGCTTCTAAGTTTGGGCCCCTTCCCTTGTACATACGCCCAAAAAAAAAAATATATATTTGCTAGTGGCCACTCAAGTTTGCTTGAGTAAATTTGGGCCCCTTGTTTGTTTTTTCAATTGGACTAATTTTTTTATTTGTTTTTAATATAGGCCTGCAACATGTTTTTATTTGGGCCTTTTATAGTGGGCTGTTCTATTTTAGTGGGCTTCTATTTTAGTGGGTTGTTTTGTTTTTGAGGGCTTCTAACAATAATTGGACTTTATTTAAAACTTGATAGTATAATGGATCTTTAAAATTTGGGGCCCTATTTTGGGCCAAATTTTGGGGGCCCTAGGCACAGGCCTTACTCGCCTTAGCCCAGGGCCGGCCTTGTATGCATGCAACAATTACTTCTGATAAAATTGTTTACTTAGTTCAATCTAAAACCGGTTTTCTCTTAATTAATTCCTATCCTATGTTACATGCGCTTTTCTAAATGTATGAAGCACTTAGGTTAGGGTAAGGGATATGATTCCGACAAGTGTAATTGGACATTCACCTAGTACGCATATTTAGTAGTTTGAGTTTTAACATTGCATGCTACCCCAAATTATGCATGAAATGCTTTTCGACACCTTTTGAACACCATTTTATCACTTTAGAAAATAAAAGAAGCATATTAAGAAATGTGAATACTTTCGTAACATAATTCCTATCTAAGCAAAAATGAAGCAAAGGATAGTTACTTTGCAGTAGTGGCTATTTAATGAAGTATTAGTGCTCTTCAATAAAATACTAATTGCTATTTTTCCCCCCTTTGCAGTTATATTCGCCGAGGCAGTTGCACTTATTGCTGCTAGCACTGTTCATCGAGTTTGTATCACAACATGGTAAATTGTGATTCATGCTTTAATTGTATACACTACGTTTCAGTGAAAATGTAAATAATAGTGTAGGAAAGGAAAATGCCATTATTTGTGACTAATTGCTATAGCTCTCGTCATGATTGATGTGGCAAGGGCCCTTCTTAATTAGGAAATGAATATTAATGTGATTTTAGGTTTCAAAATGAAAGGAAAAATTGGTAAGCCACATAAAGCTATGATAAAGGGTCATAACATGTAGTTTGTTATTTATAAAAGCCCTGACATAGGAAAAAATGAGAGCAAATTTACATTAGCTTAATTTAGAAACTTTAATCCTAAAAAAAATGTGCTCCGCAATTTTAGGAAGGTAAATATTCCCGGTTAGGAAAGAAGTTGGGCCACGCCGGCGGATTCTTTTCCTCAGCGGCCGGTCTTTCGAGTTTGAGGAGGCGTCGAAGGGAGTGGATGGGAAATGCCGGATATCCATTGTTGAGAGGGGGGAGGGGTTACGACGGGCGATGGTGCTTAATGGCTCGGAAGCTCGTTGGATTGTGACCAGAATGAGGTTTGCTTCTAAGGAACCCAGTAGCCTTGAGTTTTGGGGTCGTCTAAGTGGGGGTAGTCGGACTACAGCAGTCTGGGTACGAGGCAAGGACCCAGGGGGGTCGTCGTTTCAAGTAGTGGTCATTATAGGGAAGCAACGACAATAGACATACCTGTATCTGCGTTTGGTGATGGCTGGGAAAGGGGTGGAGCTGGTTGTCGACGGCTTTGGGCTACGCGATGAGGTCTTGCAATCCACTAGCTCCAGGAAGGTAACGTCCAATTCTAGGATAGTGTTTTCAACTACCGACTATGACTCTGAAGGGGATGTTAGTTCTGCGGTGGAGGTGGATTGGTTCTGGATCTTGGATAGGTCGCTAGTGGGCAAGATGGGGAGGTTGGGCGGCAAGGGCTTGAGTTTCGCAATTATCTCTGACTGGGTTGGGTGTTGGTTGCAGCATTCGGGGAAGGTAGAGGTGCGACCCCTGGGAGATATAGCTTCTTGTTTGTTTTTCCCACTAGAAGTGAGACGGAAGCATTGTTGCGACGGCGGTGGACAGTGGAGGGGTGTGATATTTTGTTGAAGTGGTGGTCACCACTGGCTCTCTACATCTTAGGGAAGACATTGCGGCCTGAGAAGAGTGTGTGGATTCAGGTGATGGGTCTAGCTATTTAGCTTCGTGGGGACGAGGTGTTCCGTATTATAGGCGACCGGTGTGGTGGCTTTGTCGAGGCAGATGAGTCGTCGGTGGATCTAGGTTCAATTCGGATACGTGTGTGATGCTCCGAGAATATGTCGTCGCGAGTCACCGTCCGATGGGGGGATGTGGTAGTTTTCGCTGCTAGTGTGGGTAGAGGCAGGTTTGGTGGTGGAGCTGTGATCGCCAGCAACCGAGAAAAATGGGGTATCTAGGTTGTACAAGGCAATGAGGGATTTTGGGCAATCAGAACAGGGATTTCAGCCGAGATTGGGGGTGAATGAATATTTGCACAGCTTTAGGGGAGAGGAGAGACCCATGGGGTTTCGGGGCAATACCACCCAGCTTGTGGAGGTGGCGGTGGGCCACCAAAGGGGGTCTAAGACAAGCCCAGGAAACTCGTATAGGAGAAACGGGCCAACGTAGGTGGGCTGTGATAAAAAATTAGGGGACTCAATTGGGGGGCCAAGAAGATAAGGGGGTGGGCTCCTTAGCTTGTGTTTCAAGCCCAAAAGGGGGTGGTGATTTGGGTCAACCTGGGCAACCCAAACTTTTTGTGGATCTTATTGTGGGTCGGATTGACAATGGGGTGGGTCGTAGGGCTACATGCGATACACACCCAAGCGAGATGGGTCGGACGGTTTCAACTGGAGCTAGTGCCCAACGCCGATGGTCTGAGTCACTGTTCGGGCTGGAGTTGGTGGTCCACTGTGACCCATTGGTAGGTTGGAAATGCCAATATCTTTCGAAAGGCGGGCGGTTGACATTGATTAAGAGTGTGTTGAGTAGCATCCCCACTTATTTCATGTTGGCCCATGTTATTCTAGTGTCGGTGGCGCAACGGTTGGAGAAGCTTCAGAGGGACTTTTTGTGGGGCAGTGGCAGTGATGATTTTAGGTATCATTTGGTTCATTGGGGACAAATCTGTCAACCTAAGCAAGCTGGAGGGTTGGGGGCAAGGAGGTTGGTGACTTTTAATCGAGCCCTGTTAGGGAAGTGGTTGTGGTGCTTCGCTTTAGAGCCTCACAGATTGTGGCTGCAGGTGATGGCTTCAAAATATAGGGTGGGCAGCGGGGGTTGGGTTTCAAGGTCTGTGTCCTATGCTCATGGGTGTGGTTTATGGAAAGGGATTTGGATGGAGAGGGTGGAGTTTTGGAAGTGGGTAGGGTTTAAGATGGGGGATGGGATTAGGGTGAGGTTCTGGAAAGACAGGTGGTGTGGGGAGGGTGTGTTGCGACGGATCAGGACGCTTCAGTGGCTTCCTATTTGGGTGGAGGGGGTGTGGTGGTCTGGGATATTCAATTACGGCAGGAGGTTCAAGATTGGGAGGTTGCTCAGCTGGTGGAGTTGTGGGGTTTCTTATATAGTTTGGGGACTGTTGGGATGGGACAAGATGTCATGGTGTGGAATGAGGTGGGGGCAAAGGGACGTTTCACAGTAACATCACTTTATCGGGGGTTGATGGGGGATGGTGGTAGGGTCTTTCCTTAGACAAGTGTTTGGGTTCCGGGGGTTCCGACTAGGGTTGCCTTTTTCATGTGGACGGTTGCCGTAGGTCGGAATCTCACGTTGGATAATTTGATGCGGTGGGGGCATATCCTAGTGAATCAGTGTTGTATGTGCTGCGGAAATAGTGGATCATTTGTTTCTTCATTGCTTGGTGGCTTCGTCTTTGTGGGGCTTCGTTTGTTCACTATTTGGGGTTGATTGGGTTTAACCGCAGGGGGTGTTGGATTTCTTTTGGGCTTGGCGAGGCGTTCGTCTTGGGCGGTGGCGGCGGCGGCAACGCCCGGGAGGGGGGGGGCGGTTTGGTTATTGGTACCGTTCTTTTTGATGTGGTTACTTTGGTTGGAGTGGAATAGACGTACCTTTTTAGAGGTTTCTCGTGGTGTTTCTTGGTTACAGAATCGTCTTCTTGTAGTTATGTATAGTTGGTTGGAGAGTAGAGTAGATTCGGATTTATTTATGTTTCTAAATTTTTTAGATGAGGTGATTGGTTAGCCCTTGTCTTTTTTGGTTTCCCAATCTGGGGTGGTCTTCTTGTATTGGTTGCATCATCTTGATACTTTCTTAATAATATTTGCTTATTTATCAAAAAAATAAAAGCCCTGACATAGGGTGACATAGGGCATTTCTCTGTATGAAATTTTAAAGAGCATAAATGTGCCGGACTAAAATGTGTTGGTGTTTACATATAAATGATTTATGGCGATGCAGATGCATATATGTTATGTGAAAGCATTGGCACATTCTTTTTTCAAAAGTATCTGCTCCCTGTAGCGACTTGCTTTTATATAATCTTGTATTTATTAACAACGAAGGGGAAAGAGCGGTGATAACTTTTTGATTATTACATTGCTTGGACTATGCGACAAAATGGACTGAATAGGAGGATTATCGAAGGAGGTGCAATTTTTTTTTATTGATTGAGTATTTGAAAAGTATCAATGGTGTTTGATCTTCTGATATCACAAATGTCATTTGCAAGGAATAGAGTTTCATATATTTCAATGTCATAGGTTTAATGTCAGATATGCTAAAGAAGAGAGACATGGCTCCTTCCAATTGCATTTGCGTTTGTTTGTTTGCTTGACAATCATATTTTCTTCAAATCAAATTTGTCTAGAAGAAACATAAGAAAAGTTAATTTGAGCTTTGAGAAAATAAGGTATGTTTTCAGTTCTAAGTTTCGTAATAATTCTCAATGAGAGGCTGTGAAGCTACCTTTTGCTTTCAATTATTTAGAGGAATGAAAATGAAGAAATGTTTGCATGGGCAGGGAAAAGAGAAATATGTTCCTTCATTCTAAAACTTTCGCTGATGTAAATTGTTATTCTGTTTCAAGGTAGTGTAGAGGCATTGATTGTTTCTTTATGCCCTTGTAATTAGGAGTAAAGAACATTAACTAGTTTACCAATAGCACACCAACTAGATATAATATTATGTGGGACTCATGTTAATTGATGGAACTCACATGTATGCCTTATGTGTCAATTGGTGTGTTCGTTGTTATATTAATTAGGCCTTGTTTAGGATAAACTAAAAAAGTAAAAAAATTACTAGAAATGTTAAAAACTCTATACTATTCAAGGGTAGCTTATTGGGGAAGCTACTAAGATAAAATTATTATTTTGCCCTTTCATTCAACTCTCTAAAAAGTCAAAATGTCAAAAGGGTAAAATTGTTATTTTGATTTTACTATAATATTTTATTACACATCTTTTCGTAAAAAGTCAAAAAATTATACCAAACATACATTTTTTTTTTCTATACTTTTTTTAACCAAAAAGTCAAAAAGTGTATTTATATAGCACATCCCAAACAATTACTTAGTATTTGTAGCATTACTGGGTAATTAATGAGTGAATTATGTTGTGGTTTCTACATCCACCAAACTTAAAACACTCTCATAGCAAAATAAAATATTTATGAAAAAAAGCAAAAGAAGTGGAATTGCTTATGATGCTATACTAATGTTGTTGGTATACCAATGCAGCTTCTTGTTTTCTGCTGGACTGCTCTATGAGGTTAACAAGCTTTCAGGGATGATGCTTTCCAGAAGTGAATCTAAAATGAGAAGGCACTGAGGAACATTTTGCTACGTTTATCTAGATTAGGATTTGTACCTTCAAAACCTTAACATGAGTTGTATTGGATAGAAGTTTTGGATTTTAAGCTGTTGGGGTTCCTGGCACAGTCAATCTGAGCATGGTTTTAAAGGAACTTGATATCACATAAGGCAGCATCGTCGTTGGCTGTGTATTCTGATGTTTTTGGTTTTTGAATTTGTCAAGAGAAAGGAAATGGAGAGAGAGAGAGAGAGAAAGAGATTGGCTTTTGTGTGGTTGGTCAAAGAAAAAACAGAAGAAAATAAGTAGGCAATTTTCAAAAAAAGAGAATTACTCAAAGAAAAATTATTGGGCTTGAGTAATTTTATTTGTTTATTTTTTTCGACAAATTCCAAATCCAAACATATTGACAGCTAATTTACAACAAATTCCTTGCACTATTTGCGACAGCTAATTTACAAAGCTAATTTACATTCAGTCCTAAGTGGAAGCAAATAATTGACAACTGCAGCGAGGGGGATTAGGGTAATGACTTGTCCCAAACTTTAGTTTTGGTTGCTTGTGTCTTCGTTCTTTTTATTTTATTTATTTATTTTTTTGTTCCGTTTTTTGGTGTGTTTTCGAAAATGAAATAATAAAAAAAAATCAAAAACACCCATGTGTTAACATCATTTTCAATTTTTTACAATAAAAATTTAAAAATTCACAAAAAAAAACCATTTTTTAATATGCATCACCAAATAATTGTGTTTTTTTATTTTATTTTATTTTAATTTTTTCCTAAAAAAAGAGAACACTATCAACATCCCAGCATGGGCACTATGAAAGTAAAGAGTTTGTCTTTCGAAACTAACTGTCCAAGACCGCTGGTAGTTGTGTTTTCTTTTCCCCAAATCAGGCCTTTTTATTATTAGTGACATTTCAGGTTGCCTATGCAGTCTTGCAAATTCAATATGCCAAAAATAAACAAAAAAAGGAAAAAAAGAAAAAAGAAAAAATCTTTTTCAATGTACAATGTTTAACCAAAATATGAGTAGCCATGGCACCAAAAATGCCGAGTTTCATACCGACAATACCAATACAAGACTACAAAGTCTGTCCAATACAATACATCTCATCTCTATACAAATCTATTCTCATCATGTCCATTCAAATCAATTTATAATCAAATGACCATTATGAATTGATAGCCGCATAAGACCACCAAGGGTTTGCAAAAATATAATCAATCATCCGTCATTATACCCAATTAATAATAATGGACAAAAGCCATCCAAACTACCATTGATTGATAAATATAACTGCAGTAGGATTAGAGAAATAAGACAGGGCTATTCTAAAACCATGTCTTTTAAGACAGATTGTCCGGTAACATTCCAAAGCAGACTAATAGAACAGAGTTGGAAGTGAGCTAATCACCTGCTATGCTGCATCTGCTGGAACATGGTCAGTAGAAGAAGCAGGCAAATGATTTTGGAGCAGAGAGAGGCACGGCTGTGTGATTCTGCACAAATGATTGCAGGTAAGGAATGTGAAATTGTGTCAATGGCTCCGACTCATTCCCTGCTTTATATCAGTGCTATTTATTGCTCCACCCCACCAACACCAACTGACATGGGCAATAAATCAGGACTCTGAAAAAACCAAAATCTTGTTCAGAAGAATACTCATTTCACATGCCGCTTTTTTTTTTTTAAAGTGTAGAGCACAGATGTTGTGGAAGCCAGTTGCTGATCTTGAAGCAGCTTTTTGTGCAAAAAAATAGCACTCCTAACCTTGTTTGGATTCTCAAAAGTAGAACCAACCATGATGCGTGCAGAAACAGCTCTATTCAAACCATTTCTCACCCCGTGAAGTTGTTAGATGCTAAAAGAATTCCTTGCATCCTTCATTTGGTGTTAACTGAGAAAGCTTCATAGTCGGCCTGTTGTCTTTCTTGGCAATTCGCAAGTCCTTACTGAGATGACTTAATCTTCCACGACTTCTTCCTAGCAATTGGGGCTCTAGAATCCTGTATAATCAATAATAAGGCTCCTAGCTGTAGTGCAGAGGTCATCCCATATTAGATCTTAGATCTCCTGCTGTTAGATCCACAATCAGCAGCCTTGACTGATTTAGCAGAGCGTCTCAATCACACAAAGGTTCCTTGACCAGAAGATTCAATTTTTCGTTCAGAAATTCAAGTACATCTTGTCTTCCTTCCTTTATGAGCAATTGTCGTAGCCTCCCAAATGTCACCCTTGATGGACGCATACCCATCTCTATCATCTCTTCCATCATAACACAAGCCTCAGAAACATCACCCTTCTCACACAACCCATTAATTAGTACAGAAAACGTGTGCATGCTTGGAGCAAATTGCTTTGACTTCATGTACTTCCACACCTTTTGAGCCATCTTAAGCTCTTCCCTCTTGCAAAACATCTTTATCATCATAGTATAGGTGTCTGCATCTGGCTCACAAATCTTGATCATCTTGCGGAAGACGCTAAAAGCCTGATCAGTCTCTCCAAGACCTATTAAGCCGTTTAGAATGATATTGCAGGTCCTCGAATTGGGCATGATCCCCTTGGAATTCATCTCATTCAAAACCCTATATGCATTTTGAAATTTGTTTACTTTGCAGAAGGCACTAATCAAAGCATTATACACAATCACATCAGCCTTGACTCCATTCCTTTCCATTTCGAGGAATGTATCAACTGCATCTTCAATCTTATTGTCTGTCCCGTAACTATGAATCAAAACACTATAAATGAATGAAGTCGGTCTACAACCCTTAGCATTCATGTCCTTAACAATTTCAACAGCTTCATCTACCCTTCCGGCTTTGCAGAGAATGTCAACCATGATACCATATGTCACTATATCAGGGTTGCAACCCATGTCAACCATCTCCCTGAAAATTTCCCTAGCCTTTGGAAGGTTTGGATCCCTTCCCCACCCCTCAATCAGAATACTGTAAGTTTTTGATTCTGGAACAAATCGCTCCTTCATGTTATCAAAAATTTCCTGAGCCTTCCTCACATTCTTGGACTTGCACAGAGCACTCAACAAGCCATTAAATGCTGCTAAATTTGGCAGCATATCATATTTTTCCATGACATTGAAAGTGTATATCGCCTCCTCTACCTTCTGGGCCCTAGCATACTTTCTCATAATAATACAAAATGTCTCAATATTCAGCATTTTTTTGCTCCTCATGCTGTTCACAAGATCCCATGCAATTTTATATTGCCTTATCTTGGCCAGAGACTCAATCATAGTGTGGTAAGCTCTGATGCTGTGCTCGTAATTACGTTGCCTCCCAGCCCATTCAAAGAATCGATATGTCACCATACCAGCATTTTCAAATCTCTTGAGGACTTCTTCGACAACATCTGCTGAAACCCTAATCCCACTCTGGTCGAGGGCAGTGTCAAGCCCTAATTTTGGGCAAGAAATCATAATTTTACATATTCTTTTAGTGGGATCAGAAATTTCTTTCATTGTTTCACTTGCACTGTACATTCTGGCCAACATCACTATTCTCAAATCTAGTTTGTTATGATAGCAGTGGATTTTGATCATATTGTCAAAAGGCAAATAAAGGCTTCCAAGTTGCCTGGAGCATTGGAAAGTTAGTGAGTAATAATACCTGTGATGACTTTTATCTATAGTAATCTTCACTTCTTTCTTTGCACTAACATCATCTGAAATAAAAAAATGGGAATTGTAATTTTTTTTCCAACCTTGGTCACAATGCATTACATAGGTGTTTATTATGCGTAGTTCATGCTTCTAACCATAGAAACAGCACAGTGGATATTCTCAAAAACTTACAGCCTTTGTTATGCAAAATCGGCTGTTTTGGTGATACAATGAGTGTACTGGTGAAATGCATGATTAATTCTAGGCTAAAGCACAATGTAGGAAATTTATTGATGTCGGTAGTTATTTAATGTAGATATAGAGAGAAATTGTATGTATTATGATTGATGTTATTGATTTTTATTACGATGATTCATGATTCCTATATATAGAAGAGGGTGAGTGTGTAGTAGGTAAGGAGTAGGTGAAGTGGAGGTGGTAGTGGTGTAGTGGGTTATGGGTTGACAATTCAGATTTCCACCCCATGGCAACATGAAGAGTTTGATAATGCATGCCACATCCTGTTAACTGAACCCAAAAAAAAAAAAAAAAAAAAAAACTTCTGTTTTAGCCACCATCTATAAAGACACAACTACCTTTGAGGACATTTAAATGTGTACAAATGAAAGCTCTAATAAAACAGCTACATGTCAGTATTACCACAAACACATTGAAATTTCTTTATCTTATATATGCATTAGATATATAAGAATTAGTGATGGGTCCAAATGCGATAACAGTTTGATAAATGAGAAAAAACGGTTTTAACAGTTTTGGACGGTTTAATGAATGAAAAAAATTTGTTTAGCAGATATTGAGGCCTCATTTGGGAAGTAACTATTTTAGCCAAAAAGTCAGTATAATTTGTCGCATTACTCTCTTTACTTTTCTGTACATCTTTTCATAAAAAAAATAAAAATTATTAAAATAACTTATCTTCAAACGAGGCCTGAATTTGACAAGTATTAGAAATGGACCATATTTTTGAAAAAAAGAAAAAAGTGTAACAGTGTTCGCTTCAAGTTCACCCCAAATAGGGTGTAAGACAATTGGCTGATGATTCTAGTGTAGCTAAGAAATGAATTTTAAATTGGGTAAAAATTTCACTTTGGATTGAAAGATATACCTTGACTATTTTAGCCAAAAAGTCACTCTCTTTACTTTTCTGTACATCTTTTCATAAAAAAATAAAAATTATTAAAATAACTTATCTTCAAACGAGGCCTGAATTTGACAAGTATTAGAAATGGACCATATTTTTGAAAAAAAGAAAAAAGTGTTACAGTGTTCGCTTCAAGTTCACCCCCAAATAGGGTGTAAGACAATTGGCTGATGATTCTAGTGTAGCTAAGAAATGAATGGGTAAAAATTTCACTTTGGATTGAAAGATATACCTTGAATCAACAAATGCAACACATGATCATCTTAGGCATTTACAAAAAAATGAAACTCATGATCAACTTAGGCATTTCATCAAACATGTGGAGCACAAAACTGAAGGGGTTAGTTTACATAGGGTTTTAGGTAGATCAAAGAAAAACAATGCCTATAGAATTTGACAAAGTGGGCCAGAGAGGATAAATTGAAAACATAAGCAGAAACAAGTGCATGGATACTTACACCCTAGAATACAAACCCAGATGTCCCTCACAGACACAGACACACTAGTCTAGTCGCAGACTACTTGGGAGAATTGGATTCGGATCCTCTGTCCATATTTATGTGTCCAGAT